GAAAGAAGAAAACTATGCACAGTAATTGCATTTTAAAGCTGTTTAAAGCAACGTTACCAATTTTAACGTATTTATTATCAAATTAATAGTAAACTAGCACTAATGCTAATTAATATAACACTTATAAATTGGGACATAGAGCTAAAAGGGAGGTTTATTGAGGGTGTTGGGCATTGGAGCTTAAAACAGGAGGACACAAGCATAATACAGCAACTATAATAATTTCTGGTCTCAAAATATGTAATTAAACAAATCTAAACATCAACAGGTTAACATTTTTCTATAATTCTCATATTTTTCCGTTCTTGCTCACCTGCTCAGTCATATATCTGCCTCCTGGTGGTTATGTTTTGCTGGGTTTGGCTTTGTGTAGCTTCCCTGACAATGAGATATCCTGCAGTCACTATTTCCGGTCACTGACTTACCTTTGAACCTCTGCTTTGTGAAATTGCATTGTTTCTGACAGGACAGCGTGTTCACTAACACTGAGAGACTTTGAATTCTGAAAACACCCTTCATCAGCACATGATGAGCAGTATTGCAGTCTGATAAATGATAAGCAAATGCACCACAGTTACCCATCTGTGTCAGAGAATCACAACAATACATAAGGCCCAGGCTAAGTCAATTAATCTGAGTTGAATTAGCTTACCTTCAATGGGTTGGAATCTCATTTGAGGGTAGTTAAAAACTATCAGGCAAGTTTCTTATTCCTGAACACGAGTGACATTTACAGGAGTACCCAGATTATGTGGCAGGATTGGGCTTGACTGTTATGCCTTGGTTGAACATTTCAAGAACTCGAAGGAATATTCCTTTAAGTGATTTTTTTTTTCTTCCTATACCAGGCTTTCTCCCCTTTTTTAAACTTTAGACCCAAATATATGCATGCATGCTGTTTGATGTCATAGAGTCGTAGAGATGTACAGCACGGAAACAGACCCTTTGGTTCAACTCATCCATGCTGACCAGATATCCGAAATTAATCTAATCCCATTTGCCAGCATTTGACCCGTATGCCTCCAAACCTTTCCTATTCATATACCCATCCAAATGCCTTTTAAATGTTATAATTGTACCAGCTGCCACCACTTCCTCTTGGGCTTCTCAATAAAACATCTGAAGAGCTGTCACTCCCTATCTCTCACTATGTGTGATGCTCAAGTCATGTGTTATTCATTTTCTCAGGGTTAGTAAGTATTATATTCCTCTTTCTTTGACTCAAGAAACCTTATAATTGGCTCCTTATATCTAGGTAGCACTACACTTTAATTAAAGTGTGATGCGGCTGTGTGCTAAAAAGAATTTAAAACTCTTCGTTGTGGCTAGCCGAGGAGATTAGAAAGAGAGAACTGATCTATCCCTCCTCACCTTGTGGTACCACGTGTCAACATTCACTCACTACGTGTACACATATGTGGCCCAATGGCCGAGGTGTCAGGCAATGTCCCTGGTCATGTACCCCACCTTCAGGGGGATTAATGATGCAAGAATGAAAGAAGTGGTACTGAGCAAATATAGATTAAAATATGAGTCCAATCTGATCTAATGTTTTGCCTTTTGTACAGCACAGCACCTTTTGATGTTTCTCTGACCTTGAAGGACAATTTCTAATGACCCTGCTGAAATAATTTACCTGTGCAAACATTTGTAATGTGTTCTGCAGGAATGAACTACAATGCAACAGAGTTAATTCATGCACAACTGCAGCTTGAATAAATGGAACGTAACTTCTGTTGTGGTGAGCTCCAGCCCAGAATCATGTTATAACCCGACACAGCTCCTCAGCTCCTTCTCTTTTTATTAGGTGGTGTAAGAACAGAATGTAATTGTAATAAGGACAAATGTTTCAACATTAAACCTGGAGGTTGTTGAGAACATAAAATTCTCATGAATGTTTTTAATGGGATGGAAACCAGTAAGCCTCAGGGCTTTCCTATGGCTTTGTGCATGTGCTTTGTAAAGCCTGGTTGATTAATTAACTTTGCAGTTGAGCTATGGTACGCATACAAGAAACCACCTTGTTTGGGAAAAACTCCACAGACTTAGAAATACAGATTGAAACATTACACTTTAGTATTCAGTGCGGGAGTACAAGTTGCAATGTAGAACTTGTTTATGCACTAAATAATCTGCACTCTGCTTCAACTCACTGCCAATCACTTGGATCAACAAAGCTCCAATTTCTTCAATGTCGCTGAACCATTTCTCAACCAGATGGCACACATCTCAAACCTCCCTTTGCCTGGTGACATTTCCAGACACCTATTGTAAGAGCGCCAAACGTATTTTATTCTGTATCTTGACAGAGAGGGGTAGGCACAGTGAGCTTGCAGCTTTCCCCACAGCACAAGGGGCTTTGTTGGAGCCATGTCTAATTCTGAGGTGTAGTGCAACTCCTTTATTATTCATGTATGTGTGAGCACATTCTATCTATCAAGTCTCATAGAAACCTTACAGTGCGGAAGCAGGCTATTCAGCCCATTTTGTTCACACTGACCCCGTGAAAGCATCCCATCCAAACCCACCCTTCTCCTGCATTTCCCACAGCCAATCCACTTTGGACTGTGGGAGGAGACCAGATCCCCCGGAGGAAACCTGCACAGACACGGCAAGAATGTACAAAGTCCACACAGACAGTCACCTGAGGGTGGGATTGAACCCGTTTCCCTGGTGCTGTGAGGCAGCAGTGCTAACCACTGACTCACTGTGTTGCCCAATATCCTGGCAGCAACCTTGATGTCTTCATTCTATAGCAGTGTGCTGTACCATCTGCATTTGAAATACCACATGCTTACTGGAGGAAAAGGAATCACCAGTGCCCACATGGCACAGGAATCTGGTATACAACCCATGTACATGTACATGTCTTTGAACAGAGCATTGGAGAGCACATACATATGCTTCTGCTGCTTGAGCTGCTTCGGAGGGACCCTGCAGCATTCTCCAGAATACAGGCCACTGTTGTCTGCCCTGAACATCTCCAGCATTGTGAAAGGACTGACCTTGCTGCCAGCAGCTGAGGAATACACAGTGTACTGAAAGGGATGCGAAAAAGGAACTGGCACATCCACGTTCTGGCAAGGCTGTCAGAGATCAGCTCCTCTGACAGTGGTACCAGTGAATGCAACTCCAATTCCTCATTCAACACTGAACACAAACCTTACCTTCCCTGTGCTTCTCCACCCATCACTGTATTCTCTTCACCTCAGCACTGCCACAAAACACACCACTAAACAACAATTCTAACGCAATCAGTGCATGCAATATTCCAATAAAATTCAACTGATTGCACTTGTATTTGCCTGAGGGCCTACCTTCTGTGTGTGTTTCCACTGTTCTGATTGTTCCTTCGGCTGTAGTATGGTTGCAGAAAAGCTGCTGATTGCTATAAGGAAACTGATGTCCTTGTAAGACAACTTGATTCCTCAACCCTGGCATGGATGGCAACATTCCACCATTTTGTAGTCTATCAAAGTGGAACTGATGGGTCATGCCATCCTCACAAAAGACAGTGGGTCTGTGCTCATCTGGCACTCTCCCCAGCACAACATTTCAACAATCCTGATATGATGACAGATGTGCGATGGATATGAAACACTTAAAAGCCCTTTGCAGCACTGTCATCTGCTGCTCCAATGGCAGTAAGCTGAGCTTTCCTCTCTTCAGACGGACCTCCCACCATAGCACTCAGACTCTAGATGTCTCCATAGCAAGTAGAATAGAAAAGCAGAAAATGGAGAGAGACTGCACAATGCTGCAGAACACATTGCAATGAGGGCAGCTAGCTGGACCTCAAAGGGGCAGTATGGTGGCTCAGTTGTTAGCACTGCTGCTTCACAGCACCAGGGACTCGGATTCAATTCCAACCTCAGGTAACTTCTGAGTGGAGTTTGCACATTTGCCTTGTGTCTGCATGGGTTTCCTCCGGTGCTCCAGTTTCCTCCTGGCGTACAAAGATATGACGGTTAGGTGGATTGGCCATGCTAAAGTTCCCATAGTGTCCAGGGAGCTGGAGGCTAGGTGTATTAGGAAGAGGAAATGCAGAGTTACAGGAATAGAGTCAGTGTGAACTTAATGGGCTGAATGGCCTGCTTCCACACAGTAAGGATTCTATGAATATGAGTTCCCTGATTGGGACTGTTAATCTGGTCCAATCAGGGAGCCCTAGCTGACATATAAAAAGATTGAGTGTTGGAGATACTGACACTTGAGTACTCGACTTTATATGTGGGAATCCTTTAGCCAAGGACTGTTGAGTTGTAAATAAATGGTGACTTGGTGACGGTTTACCAGCCTCTGTAGAGTAGGTATGCTCATTCATGAGTCACAAAATGTCATCATATTAGTGCAACAAGTCTTTAAGGAAGCCATTAGAATGCTGAACTTCATTGCAAGCGGCTTGGAATGAAAATGTTGGAAAAACTTGCTGCTGTTGTACAGGGCATTGGTGAGATGACTCCTGGGTACAATGCACAGTTTTGCTCCCCTTATTTTGGGAAGACAAACTTGCACTGGAGGCAGTTCAGAGCAGATTTAATTGGCTGATTCCTGGGGTGAAGGGATAGTCTTATGAGAAAGGGTTGAACAGATTGGACCTATGTCTCGTGGAGTTTAAACAAATGAGAGGTGATCCTATTGAAACAAATATGGTTCTAAGGGAAAAATACTGAAAGAACTGCTGGAAATCAGAAAGAAAAAACAGAAATTGCTGGAAAAACTCAGTAGGTCTGGCAGCATTTGTGGAGAGAAATCTAATTTAACATTTCAGGTCCAGTAACTCTTCTTCAGTTTCTAAGGACACTTGACAGGATATCTGCTAAAATGTTTCCCCTCATTGAGAACCAGGGCAGCACAGTTTAAAAGTAAGGGAGGTCCCATTTGGAGAGCATAATAATGTAAGGCAGAGATAAGGAGGAATTTCTCCTGAGTGTTTGGAATTCTCTCCCCAAGAAAGCAGTGGAGACTGGATGATTTAATATATTCAAGGTGGAGTTAGGCGGAGTAAATTGATTGACTCTGGCATCAAGGGCTAGGGGTACAGGCAGAAATATGGAGTTAAGGGCACAAAGGATCAGGTATAAATTTTTGACTGGTGGACCCTCTCTCCAAAGGGAGAAATAGCCTACTCTGGCCCCTCTTTGGTAAGTTCTTTGGCTGTGTTGCAATTGAAATGGTGATCTCAGCCTTCAGATGCTACATCAGTGTAGAGTCCAAATGGGAGGTAATGGAGTTGGCCATCAGACTGGAACTCACAGGCTCCAAGCTGTGCACAAAATTGCGTGGAACCCTCCATGTTTTTAACAGCAGCTGCAGATGTTCCAGCAGGCTAGTCTATGCACCAAGTATTGCATGCTTATCAGCCAACAAGTTTGAGATCAAACTTGGTATTTGTTTATCATCAGTGTCTTCCTCACAGTTTCTGGGTAAAGAAGAAATGCATATGGGAAGGATTTTGGTAAAAGACAGAGGGCAAGTTAGATAAGCACTCTCTCAGCTTATCACTGGAGTACAGCGAGATATTATTACTCATTTCACTGGAGTGGGTCTTAAACTAACCAATCTTCTGAGGGCAGGAGAGAGTGCTGCCAACTGAGGTACAGTTGACATAGTTAACATAGGTAACAAGGTTAAACATTCCCATTACTGAGGGTAAATAGCCTCTGCAGCACAAATTCTAAAATGTTTCTGGTAAGGTTGTGAATTAGCATACCAATGTTATAAGGAATCAAACACGTTATCACTTTGCACCCTGGGAGTAGCAAGATACATCCTGTAAGTGACAGCATGTTCACTTGGTATTGCTTTTGTCTCTGGGTCAAGATGTTGTACATTTGGGCCCCACTCTAGGATTTGAGGAAATAATCCCATGTAGGACTGCCACTAATGGAGCTGTCCTCCTTCAAATGAGTTTTTAAACCAAGCACCATTCACCTTTACAAGCCTGGAAAGACCCATGGTATTATTGGATAAATAGTAAGCAGCCCTATCTACTATTCCACCTTCAATCGGTAACATCAGGAACATTTTCCTGTTTACCATCAGAAGCTGTTAGTGTCGATTAATTGTTGCATTTATGAAATCGTCATGTCCCAGAATATCCTGAACTTCAAACATACATTGATGTTTGAATCTGACCACAAGACTGCAAAGAATGTCCTCCTGATTGACTTCTTTTGTGGATTTGAACCTACACAACACCTCGAGAGGGAACAAAAGTAAACTTTTAGACTGATGTCATAACAATGCCTTTTTTATGAAACTAATTCAAAAAGGTAATTTCAAATTGAATGGGTCATTCAAACGCAAAACCCTGACTGTCTTAAACTTTCAAGGTGCAGGATGTATAATAGACTTAAACACCCAACTCATTTGAATAAGTAGTTTAGATTTGTAACAGGCCACATGTTGAGGCAGAAATTTTCTCTGCCTGCTTTAAAAGCAGCAAGAAACCATTTTGCAGACAGAGTTCCACGAAACAAGCATCAAGCTATCAAAGCAGCTAAGTTAATCCTTTGAAAGTGGGAGAAGGGCTCCACAAACTTGTTCTGACTTTTGAGTTCACCTCAGAGCCTGAAATTGAATTACAAGAAGCTTCATGGCTTGCTGGGGATCACCTGCTTTACAAGACCTTCACTTCAACTAAAACATCAACACAGCTAAGGAACTGCAGGTCTTCCTCTGCAGTGAAAGCGATTCATATTATCTTAAATTGGAATTGGATTGTTTTACCTTCATCTGCATCTAGTTTTTGTGTGTGCAACATGAATGATTGAATCATAGTGTTTTAAACATCCAGGGTAATTTGGAGATAATGAGTTATGTTCTCTAAATTTAACCTTACAAATAGCTTGATGCTGAAATTATTTAATTAGCACAATCACTCTGATGGTAAGAACACACACTCATTCCTTACATCCAAACATATTTATCACTGGCAAAAAAAAGGCACAAATTTTGTCAACGACTCTTGTAAAATGTTTTGTACACCATGTTGATTGGTGAAAAGTCACCTTATAGAAGATCTTCGCAACCAGGCAAAACAAAATAATCTTTCTGGCAATCTGTACTGGACATAAATTTAGGATCCAGAAGGAAAATAGTAATTTATTCACGGATTGTGCACTCAACATTGCCAGTCAGCTTTCTTCAGCTATAGTTAAGCCTTCCCAATAGAGCATTGTTGATTTGATCTTCTTAGTGTTGACACTTGCACATAATTAACTGTGCACCCTTTAAACCTGTCTATGATTAGAGAGGTTCAATTACTTAGCTTTGATAAGGAAATTTAAGTAACTTGAAAATTCTACTCCTGGTCATTTCAAACTGCAAATTCAGACTTACAACTGCCATATCTTTACACTCTCAATTGACATGAAACCTTTCTGTTGTTGATGCTAAACCACTTCCTTATCCCCACCTTTGATGCTCTCATTACTATTGAAATTTTCACTATCCTTTCCAATTATCCTTCCAAAACCTTTTCTAATTTCCTTCAATACAGCAGATACATACTTGAGCATATTTTGCACACAACTAGAGTTAACTGCATCATGTCAACATCAACTTGCCTTATTTTTTGTTGCCAGTTATACATTACTGTGGAATCTTCCCATAGAACATACATCACCCATACTTTCTTTTCTTTGTTGCCAATTACCTTCTTAAAAGCCCCTCTTCTCAATGCACAACGACACCAATGAATAATGAGTTCATGCTCTCCTTGTCACCTGGTAGCACCTTCCTCGTGGAGGATGGTTAGCCAGAGGTACTCTTGCCAAACCCCATCTGAGGTTCTCCCTCCCTTAACATTGATCATGTCACTCTCTCGTACATTTATTCTACTGGCCCTTCCCACTCCCATGCCCTCTTAGAATTCATCTTGCCCATGAGATCCAACCCCTGAGCTTTCAATTAATTCTGACGAACAGGTTCTGGTGAAGGGTCATCCTGGCCTGCAATATCAACTCTGCCCAATTCGGAGCAGTTCCAGCACCTTGTTTGCGGTTTACAGCTTTCACAGCATCTTGATTTTGTGTCCTGATCCCTCAACTCCGTTTTCACCGAGCTGTTGATCATCTAAATTGATTATCAGGCTGCTAGCTTGACCGACATTGAAAATGGTTCCTACCCTGCAGATGTTGTGTCCTTCCTTTTGAAAACTGCTATCACCATCTGAGATGGGGATGTTAAACTGAAAAGTTATCTGCTGTCTCGGGTATGTGTGAAAGATCCCTTGACATAAATTTGAAGATGAGCAGGGCAGTTATCCCCCTTCTCCTGGCCAGAGGTTCTCTCTCAATCAACAACACAAAAGCAGACTACCTGATCGTTATTACACTGCCGATTGCAGGACCTTGCAGTGAGCAAATTGACTTCCAAATTTCCTATTCTGCAATAGTGACGCTTCAAAAGCTATTTCACTGTCTGTGAAAAACTTTCGGACAACCTGGGGTCATGAATGCACTGAATAGATGCAGGTCTTTCTTACAAAATACACAATAGACCCTTAATCCTTGCAAACATCGTCACATTCAACAAAATAAAGATGAAATTCTGTCGAAGTTGGCATCCTGAAATTTAAAAAGAGACAGAAATTATCGGAAGAAAAATCTCGTCAGGTCTGGCAACATCTGCGGAGAGAGACAGAGAGAAAAGATGAGTTAATCTTTCAAGTTCAATATATCTATCTGAGCCATATTAGATACCTAATATTTAACTTTCTCTGCAATCAGTGATCCAAGTAGTCATTGGTCAAAGTCATACCCATCTCAGCTCAATTTCTTACTGAATATGCAGACTGGCAAATTCCTTGCCTTGCCATCTCCCCACATGCCCCTATCACTTGTCTATGATTGGTTGGTTGATGCCCAATTGGGTGACAATAGGGACACAAACTGGCATCAGTTTGGATAGGGAATTATGAAGTTGTCAGGACTTCACTATTCACGTTATGATTGAGTGGCCCTTGCCGAGAGTAGATAAAGTATATGCTTCAAATAAATAGAGGCTTGTCTGTGGCACCTTGTTGGTCCACATATGGATTCATACATTGGAGACTCCTCAACAGCACAAGATTATAATATCCACTGCCACAGATTTAGTTTAAATCGTGTTTTCTGGAGAGAAAAGCAAAGAAAATAAATGGTTTGTAAAAAAGTAACAGATTTTGATTAAAAAGGTACAAGCACCATTGTATCTCAACGTATGTGACCTGAAGAAATAGTTTACTCAGTAACCATAATCTGCAATTCCCATGGGCTGAATTACATTGCATAATCTAAAAGGAAAGATTCGGCAACTATTGAAAGTGGCTATAAAAATTAATTGCAGAAAATGATGATATTCTGTTCTCATCTGAATTTTACAGACATTTTCATTCCAAATTAGCATTTATCCAAATACTTCAACCTTTCCATTTCCTGCCTTCTTTCCAAAATCTTCTCGAAAATCTTCTCTTTGACCCTGCCTTCATTTTCCAAGTCAGCCCTTCCCCTTTTCCTTATCCCACTCACCATTCTCTCAGTGTGTAAAACATTATAAAGACTGTTTGCCTCCTGAGAACTTGCTTCACTGAAATTTACATGTGCCTGGCATTACTCCACAATGGAAATTGCTCAATACAATAAAAACACACACTAATAAAGTGCTTGATTTTAACAGATCAAACATTAATGGCAAATTCGCAAAAACTCTAAATTCTTAACTTTGAAACTCCAGATGGCCATGAGAGCAGATTTCCAGTTTTCTTAAGGATTTGAAATATGTTTGCTCCAAGATATCATGAACTACAGAAAGGGTTAACCTGCAATTTTTGTGAAAAAACAAAATTGACACCAATCCTACCTCAAATACACCCTAGAAACAACAGGGCAACTGGTGTTTTTCACATACCAATATCCTTGTGATAGAGCTGGGAAAGTGAACATGATCAAAGTGATTTGGCAGGCCTGCTTTCTTTCTGCATTGATTAGGTGGGCGCCTGTTGCTTTTGAGTGCATCGAGCTGCAGTGGGTAATGGATGAGTGAATCCTAATGAAAACTAGCCAGATCAGCTCCCCACAGATAAGGTTTCCTATTAGACTGACCCATTAGTGAATGGCTGATTCTGTCAAATAGAGATATGAAAGGAACAAACGGCTTAGTTTCCCACCCCCCCCCAACCAAATTACAGTAGCAATTCTTCATTTCCTTTTTGCAGAAAACTACATTCAGTCAATGCTCATGACAGTGTTCTTCAGTCTCTTGAGGAAATAGCATTGCCAGAAAGAAAAAAAGCTGTATTGTGAAACAATTCCGGGGCAGCCTTAAAAGCTAGAAAGAAATGAATTTAATTCTTGCAGCTTTCTGTTCCTTGAGTCTACTTATCTCAGTCAACTATCTACAATTTGTCTAGGCTTACATAATGTAAATCCCCATGAGGGCATAAGAATAAGAGGGAAAAAAAGCACAGTACACGCTGTCCATTCCTTAAGTTGAACCCATTGTCATATGCATAAAACGAAAAATAGTACTGAGAGGGAGGGGCAGAGGAATGGGACAGAGAAAGAGAGGGAGATTATTGACCAAGGCAGAGGATTTTCCAACTGGTTACTATATGACAGTGAGCAAACTAAAGACAACTCATATTTACATAAAGATTTTAACATTGTCAACTCTTCAAAGACTCTTCGCAGGAGCATTATTAAAGAAAGATTTGACACTATGAACAGCTACTCCATTCAAAGGTATGTATATGGGGAAGGGTTTTGCTCACCATTATTATTTCCTGGCATTATATTCAAACTTAGTGAAATCAATAAAGTCAATACAAGATTCTGTGTTTGTCAGGCTAACATGGCTAAACACAAAGTGTACTGGGATACTTCACATCTTTAGCTTAACGCAAATGCCAGCCTGAGGTTTCATATTATGGTTTATGTGGGCTTTTTTTTTGCCTTTGTGTAGGAATGTGTAGCTGCAAATATTCAGTTTTGTGTTGTATTTTTGTTTAGGATAAAGATAAAACTATCTTCCTTGGAACATCATTGAGTAATCACAGATTTGCAGTTTATTATTGATCCTGTGGATTGGTTTCTTGGGGACAGACAGAGGAATGAATCTTTTGTCACCAAATAAAGAGAATGATAGGAAAAGAAAAGATGTCCTGTATGGAGGATGACCCCTCAATCTAATTTATTCCCATCTTTTAGTTCTCTTTATTCCCATATCATCCTCTGAGCCGGATCCTCATTTAATTGGTGCTGCAGTGTAGTCAGTCAACATTAATTGATTTACACATTAAATTATCACATTTGAAGCCAATTTCCATTTTATAACTTTAATTTTTATCCTTTTTCCATTATCTCATTAAAGCATTTTGACATGATTTGTTTTGGTTCGACGGGCAGACTCCTCAGTATCAATAGCACAATAGTATGTTAAGAAGCTGTTACACAATGCTGATACGAATGTATTTTTAGGTAGCTGTGCAGACGATCTCACTTTCAAATGTTTTCCATTAGATTATTTGGGAATTAGCTTCCAATAAATGTATTCACTTCCTGTTTGCTATCACTTGACATCAGAATATACTGAACTGGGCTGTATAGAAAACTACAGCAATGGTGAGAGATAGTAGGAACTGCAGATGCTGGAGAATCTGAGATAACAAGGTGTAGAGCTGGATGAACACAGCAGGCCAAGCAGCATCAGAGGAGCAGGAAGGCTGACGTTTCGGGTCTAGACCCA